CTTGAACGGGGGGTGAGCTAAGGCCTTCCCGGGATGGTAGAAATCAAAGGGCCATTAAAAGACTTAATCACCCGGAAGAGGGGGCCCTGGAAGAAGGGTGCATTTGAACCTTGGAGAGGGTTCGAAACCATTCGACATGGTTAAATCTCCAGTATTCTTACCGGTTAAGGATACTTCAAGAATTACTAGGTTACAGGTGCTCCATCTACAACCTACCGATAAAAAAAAAAGAAAAAAGAATACCCCGGTCGGGTATGGGCACATCAGAACTTCGAAAGTTCTACATCCATCGAAAGAGCAGTTGACCGGTCAAACCATGGCGTGGTAATTCACCGGTCAAAGTAAATTTTGCCGAAAGAATTTGTGAAGCTATCCAAAAGGCAAAAGTAAATTTTGGCCGGTCAAACTTTTTAAGTTGGCCAAAATGATGAAGACGTTCGAAAAGCGAAAATTGAAGTTTAACCGGTCAAAGCTACTCGAGCTAATCCTTCAGATAAAATGATCAGAGAGAACTTTGAAGTTCTCCCAGTCAGAAACAATGGAGAAGTGGTCTGATTGGGCTACCGATCGGAATTTCTATGATGGTTATTCTAAGGAGCAAGATCAAAAAAATAAATCAGACAAGCAATCAGACGTGGAAGATTAACCGGTATGAAAAGAAAACATGGCATTCAAACGAAATAAGAATGTTAAATGTTTTACAACTACACCGGGCATCCCCAGGGAAATTTCAAGTTGAGGTTTTTACAAAAACAACCGGGCACAACCGGGGGGCCTAGTCTAAGGGGAAAGGGGGAGTAGGCTCTTCCTCTAGGATTGGGGCCAGGCCATAGGATGCAGCGCTGAAGTTTGGATCTCTCCTGAGCAGCACCCGGTGAGAGGCGATCATATCCTTCTTTTGACCGCTCTTGAATCCAAAGGATCCAATCCCAGTAATCATCTTCTTTCCTTCAGGCTCCCGGTACAGAAGCCTGAAGGACTCCATTGTCGTCTCTGGAGTCGCCGTCATCACCCGGGCAGCAACGCCCTTGTTCTCTTCAACCCAGGCGACAGCACGCCCGGGGAAGGTTTCTTCCTTCTCCGCTGCTTCCCTCTGGGCCTCAGAGATTCCATCCATTAGTCGGCCATTCTCCTCCTTTAGCTGTGAGATCTCGGTCTTCAGGGTCCCGGCTAACCCAGACAGCCTGATCAGCTCGTCAGCCTGGCTCTTCAAGATGAGGGCCATCTCCTCCTGCTCCTTCTTCAGCCGGGCAAACTCCGAGGGAGAGCCTAAACCAAGCCGGTCGACTGTGAGGGGTCCAATCTCCCCCGCCTGCACAAAAGGGAAAAGAAGCCCGGTAAGAATGGAATAATAAGCGAAGAGGGATCAAGACCGGGATAGCAGCAGAACTTACCTCCTTCAGCCTCAGCCCCAGGTTGACGAAGGCCTCTTCGATGGTCTGGCCGGCCGCTCAGGATCTGACCGGACCCGCTTCTTGGCATAGGAGGGGTGCGTGGTGGCCACCTTCTTCACCCGGCGACCGGCCTTCTCCTTCTCCTTCCCCTTAGACCGGTCTTCATGGGGCTCATCCTCATCCAGGATTTCCACGGTCTCTGGATTGACCGAGAAAGTCCTGGCAGGATTGGCTTGGGAGCCCCCGGTCTCCCCGGCTGGTTGGTCCTCGGGGATAGCGAACTCTTCAAACTCCATATCTGCAAAACGAACCAAAAACGTTAAGTACAAATAGTTTGCCCGGTCAAACTACGAAACACAAGAAAAAGGATAAATACCTGGGTGGTTCTGGCCCTCGGCCTCTGCAGTGTTG